AGACCTCTGGTCTAAAGTAATGTTTAATAATTTCTCTGTGCAAAGAATTTTTCTCATCTAGACAAAATCAAAGATGAATCATAATATATGAAAAGTGAAGAAGAAAATATGTAAATAGAGATAGATATATACCTAGAGCATGTGATAGGAACTTGTGGCATGTAATTGGTAATGATAGTCAGTCAATAAGCGTTTATTAAGTGCCTACTATGCACCAGGCACTATGCTAAGTCCTGTTAGGACCTGGACCTGTGACTTTACTGGTACAAGGAACACCCAGGTGAGGAAATTTCTACTAAAGCAGGTCAGCACCTTCTCTGTGACTTACAAGCTTAGAGAGTTGGCTGGAGTGATAAGAAGTTAAGTGACTTATCTAGGGTCACACAGCCAGGACATCTGAGTTGGAATTTGGAATCAGGTCTTCTGGGATCCTAGGCTGGCTCTCCATTAACTGTGCCACAATAATAACTAAACTCTATATAGCACCTACTACGTGCCTGGCACTGTGCGAAACACTTTACAAATATTATTTCATTTGATTTTCACAACCACCCTCCAAGGTAGATGCTGTTATTATCCCTTTTTTAACAGTCCAGAAAACTGAGGCAAACAGAGGTTAAATGAATTGCCTAGGGTCACTTAGCTAGTAAGTATCCAAGGCTAGATTTGATCTCAGGTATTCCTGTCTCCAGGTCTCTATCCATTATACTGTCTAGCTGCTTAATGCCAAGTTGTTTCTTGTGTGATTTGATATTTGAGATTATTAATTGTTAGTTGCTCCATTCCAGTTGGGTCCACAATTGGGAAATTGGCAAAGATTGTGTTTCCCATCTTCCACCTCCCCACCAGTGGCTCTTGCCCCACTCTTGGTAGTCCCTATACCGCATGTTATTACTTTTTTCCATCCCCTGAGAATTAGCCTATTTCCAATTCTTGTTGTTTAACTAGTGTTCATTACCTCTCCCCTCACACATACACTCCTCATCACACATGTGCTGGATCAGCCCTTGACATCAGTGTGAAAGGAACATGGTGTCCAGAAAGATTAGAAGAAAAGAAAAAATGCCTAGAGAAGAAGGAAAAAGGAAATGTTCCAGTAATAGCTAAGAAAGGAAAGAATATGTGAAAGTGATTTTTAAAATGTTCTTTATTATTATGAACTTTCAACAAACACAAACATTCCAAAATACAAAGAACAAGAAGAGGATCGCACATGAAATTGTGAATTTCTACCCTGTGATTTAGTTTTTAAGTACATTTTGAATTTAACAAAGGAGTAACAAAATTGTCTTCTTGTTCCTTTCTAAACTTATTTCTTTTGTGTATTTTTTAATGGAAAATGATGTTATTTGCAATGGGATTCTCCCTCACACTCTGAATCTATTGTGGCATCAGTCTCTTAGGTGATTGTTATCAGGCCCTAAACCCTACTTTTTTGATGAGTTTGGAAGATCTACACTTGTCTCTAGTTAGTAGGAAATGCAGCTTTATACCTAGTACTAGAATGCCTCCTGAAGTGGGACATAGTTAAGAGAGCCTAACCTGGCTTTCCTGTGATATTCTAACATATAAAACTCCCATTACAAATAGCTGGACTAGATGAGCAATTCATCTGCTTGGTGGGACTTAAGGAACACCAGGAAGGCCTTCTTAGTCCCCGAAATACTTCTGTGACCACAGCCTAGGACTGATGTTTGAAATTCTTCTAAAGGTTCTTAACCTTTTTCGTGTCAAGAACCCCTTTTGGCAGGCTGGTGAGGCCTATCGACCCCTTCTCAGAATACTGCTTTTTATCAGCATAAAATAAAATGCATAGGGTTACAAAGGAAACCAATTATATAGAAATATAATTATCAAAGTATTTTTTAAAATTCATGAACCCCCAGAAATCTATCCATTGGCCTTTCTTGAATCCATAGATTCCAGGTTAAGAATTCTTGCTCTAACAGGAATGAAGCTTTGTATTATAAAGCTAGACATATGGCTTAAAATGCAAATTCCCCTAAGGACAGACATGACCTTCATTAAAATAATTCATACCAAGGTATAAATGACCGACATCAAATCCTTTCTGATGCTATTTTTTCATGGGAGAGGGAAAAACAAAAGGGTACAGAGCATTCATGAGATGAGGTAATGGATACTATTTAGAAGGGCATAGGCTCCAGAAAAAAAGGGGGCAGACAAAGGCAAATGTGGCCTATTTTACAAGTCTAGGGCTGACTGCTAAAATGAGATCAGCTCAAGCTATGCAGCATTAAATGGTGCCTCTTATTATAAGTCACCTTATTCTTTGAGCTAATGTGTATGTAGAGTCAGGAGAAAATGATAACTGGTCTTCTGTGGGGACTGGGTACTCTGTTATGGACAAGGCAATATATCCCGTAATCAGACCAAGGTTTACATACCCACTCAATCATCAGAGATAAGGATGTTGGCCCCCTTCCTTCTATGTCTCTAGAAATCTATGCCCCCGTCCTTGACCCCTCACTGCCCTTTGGGTGACTCCTTCAAGTATAAATTACAGACCTCAGGATAGAATTTCAGGTATCTAAGGATTAGGTCATTAGCTGCTAGGAGCCAAATGACAGTCAGCCAAAAAACAACAACAAAAAAGGGCCCATTTCCAAATGGGTATGACTTGGACTTTTATGGGTCCTCTTTCAGCTTTATTTTTGTCTCACTTTATAGTAGTTTGCTCTCAGCTTTTAAGTACCTTTATTCACCTTGGTCTTTGAGTGAAATGCAAATCATAAAATCTGAAGGCAAACTAAGGAAATTATATAAAACTTTAAGGGAAAATTCTGAGTAGATGATTTGCTCCATTTCAGCCCAAAGGTCAATAGACTTAATGCTACAATGGGAAAACTGCTTGTCCTCAAGTGCCTGAAATGCCTACCTAGAGGATGCTAGGAGAAATGATCAGAAAATACTGAGAAGCACCATTTAAACAAGTCATTTATCCATATGACCAGAATTTTAAATAAACCAGGCTCAGCCTAAAGAAAATTGGGTTGATGCAACCAGCTTCTGCATAGCCCCCTGAGCTGCTTTAGAAAATCAGCAAAGATACCACTCTGCATTGTAACAAAAGACAAGTTAGATATTGTTTCCCCTTTCTTGTCCCTTCCCTATTGATTTTCAAGAGAATTTGTGTTTGTGGGGAAATATCAGTGGCAATTAGATGCCCAAGTTGTTTTAACCAGCTGAATGAAGTTGAGCACAGCAGAAGAAATTGAATTGTAAAAGAAAATGAATGTTTCCGGCAAAAATAAATGTTAAGGTCCTGAAAATTCGTGATACCTGGAAAACTTAAAAAATTTCAATTTCTTATTCTAATGCTTTACATATTGCTTCAGAGAATCAGCTCACATCCAGGAAAGTTTGCATGAGAGGTCTCAGAATCATAGTTCTCCACTCTAGATAAAAGGCTAAAGCCCATCTGGTACTGTGCCATGGGGACATTTGGCCTGTATAAAATAGTATTACACAGCAGTAAATCTCAAAAATTCTATTAGCTACAAAACTTATATTGCACATCCCGAAGGTAGCACTTATAACAATTTTAAGTGATGGCCTGCTCAGTTGTTCATCCTACCAACCACTTAAAACTGGCTCACATTCATAGTCCCTACCCCCACACTGTCTTTGAAAGTCAGTAAGTCCCTGAACACATTAAAATGAAATACCAGTAGTCAGCCTAGCATCTTGAATTTCAAAGGTGGTCAACCTTTGTCCTAGCCATTCCTCTCTCTGTCTCTCTCTCTCTCTGTCTCTCTCTCTCTCTGTCTCTCTCTCTCTTTCTGTCTCTCTGTCTCTGTCTCTGTCTCTGTCTCTGTCTCTCTCTCTATTGTATTAGGTTAAGAGAGTATGAGGTAGTTAGGTGGCACAGTGATAAAGTGCTAGGCCTGGAGTCAGGAAGACTCATCATCCTGGGTTCAAATCTGGCCTAAGACACTTACTAGCTGTGGCAAGTTACTTAACTGTTTGCCTCAGTTTCTTCATCTGTAAAATGAGTTAGAGAAATAAATGGCAAACCACTCCAGTATCTCTGCCAAGAAAATCCCAAATGGGGTCCGGAAGAGTCAGACACCACTGAAAAAAAGACTGAACAAAAGACAGTATGAGCCTTTGCTTACAGCAAATATTCTTGTGATAACCCCCATGCAGCATTGATTTCCATTAAAACCAAACTAAAAAGAATTAGAAAGAAGAGGTAAAAGGCATTAAGGATTTGCCTTTTCACATTAGGTCCATTTGAGCAGCAATTATTTTCATGACAGCATTATCATTACTGAACTTAATTATAAACTAATTCATAAACTTGCCCCCTGTAAAGCATTATAATAAGATTTGATCTAAAACAATAACAATAACTTACATTTATATAGAACTTTAAAGTTTACAAATAGTATCTCATTTTTTTTTCACAACAACCATGAGAGAGAGAGATGTGTAAATTGTCCCCAATTTACAAATATGAAACTGAAGAAGGCAGAGGTTAAGTGACTTGCCCAGAGTCACATAGCTACTAAGTATTTGAAGCAAGATTTGACCTTGGCTTCTGATTCTAAGTTTAACTCTCTTTTCACTTAATAACGTAGCTACATCCTCAACTGATACGAGTAAGTAAAAAAAAATTTTTTTTCAATAAAGTTGCATCACAAATTATGTGTTCTACTTCATAGAAAGTAACTATTTCTAACTTGTATTAGTTATTTTAATACTAAACTCTTCCACCAAACTCTTACAACCAGCTTTTCTTAGCCAAGGAATGCAGTCATTTTTTCCTGAAAATAACAATTTTCTGCATTGCAACAAGACAATCCAGATGTCATGCCTGGAATATATCACAGCTGAAGCACTCCTGATCACATGTCACCAGCCATACTAGAAAAGCACAGACTCTCTTTGTGAGCTACAAAGCTATTATCTGCTCTTGATCCTATAAGAGACTGAAGTCAGGAAAGGAAGGATGGGCCCCATTTATTGTACTCTACCTGTTGTAAACTTATGTTCCACCACGAGACAATGAGGCTCTCCTTGTATTTCTTCTTCCTGTAAAGTTCCAGCCCCATCAAAACAGAAAGACAGATAGAAGAGAGAGAAATAGATGAGAAAGAGAGAGAGAAAGAGAAAGAGAGTTAATAGAACATTCACTTTTAATTTATGAAGTCACTAATCAGCAGAGGCTAAAGGCCCCAGAGAAAATCAATCTCATAAAGGGGAACAAAAAATAATTATTAATTTTTCGATATAGTAATTCACCCAAAGCTGCCTTAAATTTTTTAATGTTCTTGGGTAATATTGGTACTTTCTCACTATGAAGCTAATACATTTTGTCACTGGGATTCATGAGTGACTTTTTTTAAAGCTAAAAGTGAATTAATTGATTTCATTAAGCCATCTTCAGAATGAATTCACGTGGGTGTTTATTTTGCATATACCATAAACACAGGTGTTTACCAGAAGACAAAAAGCCCATTAAAGCTTTTCATCTTCGGGAGCTAGTTTTTCTCAAAATTTGTCCTGTGCTTTTGAACCAGCATTGTCATCAAAGAAGTATTATTGGTGCAGACAAGTTAGGTAAGTGAGCTCTGTGTCCAATTATCTCAAATTTATAAGCTAATGGTAACTTTATGGAAAATTGCTTCCAAAAATTGCATCTCTATAAGAAGTATGAATTACCCCAAGGACATATAAATTATAGGAGAACCTTATCCCACCGAAACTGAATGCGCTGAATAATGTAATATTTCAGTAAGGTCCAAAGGGACAGTCTGTGATTAAAGCATGGTTTCCGTTTATAAAGGAACTGTAGGACAGTCTTTCAGATTCCAGGATAATAAAAATTAAATTGCTTCACAGATGGCAAGATTCAACCCTTTGGAAGACAAGATAACATACAATCTTGTACTTTTCCTTTACTTTGGATATCAAATAGAATTACTAAAGCATCAACCAATTAGACTTCCTTCAAATGTATTGATTGCTTTGTTTTTCACTGTCCCTCTCTAAATACTCTGATTGACTAGTATGAGTTGTTAAATACTGAAATAGGCACCATAAGGAGAGATATTCTGTATTGCTTTTCCCTGGAGAACTTTCAGCACAAAATTAACTATTCTCTTTGAGGATGCCAGTGTTGGATAGTATAAAACAGGGGTGGAGAACCTGTGGCCTTGAGGCCACATGTAGCCCTCTAGGTCCTCAAGTGTGACCTTTTGACTGAATCCTAACTAACAAATCCCCTTAATAAAAGGATTTGTTCTGTAAAACTTCGACTTAGTCAAAAGGCTGCACCAAAGGGCCTAGAAGGCCACATGTGGCCTTGAGGCCACAGGGTCCCCACCCCTGGTATAGAATATCCTATTTAGTGGGAGGGGGCTGGTATTTATAGCTTCTTGAAGTTACTTCATTCTCTAAGATGACATTTAATTTTTAAAAATATGTTCAAGGGTGGCATACTGGTCAGAGTTGGCCTCAAGCCAATGAGATAGAGTTTAAATCCTGTCTCTGACACATGTGAGTTCAGATAAGTCACTTAACCTAGCAGTGCTCTAGGCAGCTCTCTGACACTATAAGTTGTAGAGAAGGTGCCAACTCGAATTGATAGAGAGAATTTCCTCATCTGAGAAGTTATCTATGTCAATAAAATCACAGGTCCAGTCCCTATTCCTACGTGCAGAACACTGTGCAAAGAAGTAGTGTACATACAAAAATGAGTAAGATACGGTCGTGCCCTCATGCAGTTGAGTAGGGAGGGAGGATAACACACACACACACACACACACACACACACACACCATAGAATCTTAGGCTAGGAAAGGATGTGAGAAGACACCCAGTCTACAACATCCCCAAGAGGTAGGTATCCAGTCTTGGCTTGGACACATTTTGTGAAAGCGAAACAATTACTTTCTGAAGCAGCTAGTTACCCTTTTGGATGGTTCTGTTGGGAATTTCTTCCTTAGTCAACTATAAATCTCCCTTTCTTAAAGTCGTTCTTAGTTCTGCCCTCTAGAGTCAAGCAGAGCAAGAAGACCTCCATCATATTTTACCTAAGTCCTCCTTTGTCCAAGCCAGTCTCTTCAAATGATACTCACAGAACATGGTTGCTGAGTCCCCTCAACATTTTGGTTATCTTCCTTTGGAAGGTAATTTCATCTTATCATATGTCCTCACCTCCCTCTTTCTGAGCTTATGTCTTTTGTGTCTCTCTTCACGCAGCCCAAGACTTATTTCACTTTTTTTTTTTGGCTTCCACGTTTTACTGTTGCCTTACATTCTACTTTCATTCTGTTAAAAACCCCAGGTAGTTTTAACAGAAACTACTGCTTAGTCATGTCACCCCTCCCTCGTACTTGTCAATATAAGTTTTAAATACAATATAGGACTTTACATTTATCTCTAATGCATTTAATCATATCAGTTTTGACTGATCATTCTAGCCAGCTGAGACCTTTTTGAATCCTAACCCTATCATCCAACGTGTTTTCTATCTCTTCCAGCTTTAACACATCTGCAAATTAATCAGCATACCATCTATGACTTAATCCAGGGCATTAAAAAAATATTGAAGAGTATAGAGTCAAGGACACATCTGGGGGACACTCCATCAGAGTTCTCCCTCCAAGATGGCATTAACTACTTTTTACTGATCATTCATGACTACTCAACGCCAATTTTTAAGTCACCTATCATCATTTAAACTACATTTTTTTATCTCGTCCAAAAGGATAGCATGTGAAACTTTGTCAATTTTTTTTTTCTAAATCTAGGTAACCTACATCTATAACGTTTCCCTGGTCTACCTGCCAAAAAAAGAAAATTGAGTTAGTCCTGTATAACTTCTTTAACTTGCTTTTTTTTTAAAGGTTTAATGATGCCTTTTGTTTTTACATGACAGTAACTTATAGATACTATCTTTCTACTGTCCAAGGCACTCTGCCTCCTGACCCTGCGCATTTTCACTGGTTTTCTGCCGTCCATGTAATTCTTTCCCTCCTCATTGTTTTTGGCTACCCTGGCTTTTTCAAGGCCCAGCTAAACCTTCTGCAAGAAGCCTTTCCCAAGCCCCTTTCCTCTATTTTATTACTTCCAATTTATCCTGTTTGTATCTTGTTTGTATATGGTTGTTTGCCCGTTGTTTTCTCCACTAAATAAACCATGAGCTCATTGAGAACAGGTAGCTTTTGCCTTCCTTTTTATCTCCAGCACTTACCACAATACCTGGCACACAGTAGGGGCTTAACAAATGCTGGTTGACTGTTGACTGACTAACCATCCCCTTAGTGAACTTTCCTTTGTGAGAAAGAAAAATATTTCTGCAAAACAAACTGACATAAACACCGCATTTGACAGTGCGGTCAATGTTCCGTAGCCATAGTCTCCCACCTCGCCAAGGTCCAGTTCTTCATATCTTCTCTAGGGCCAAGACTAGTCATTACAATTACACAGTATGAGACTTTGTTTTAGTGATCTTTTTATTCATATTATTAAAGTCATTGTGCATATTGTTTTCCTGATTTTTCCTTTACTCTGTAACATTTCATACTTATCTTCCGTTTCCCTGAGCTCCTCTTATTCATCACTTCTTATATGCAATAAATATTCCACTGGATTCATATGTCATAGTTTTTTTAAACTATTCCCAATTAAAGGGCATACACTTTGCTTCCAGTTTTTTCCTACCATGAAAAAGTATGATGAATATTTGTATATAGGTGTGTATACACATATATGTATGCTTGTATATATATAATATATACATATATATATGTGACTAGATCATTCCAAGAAAAGTCACTAAACTGTTCCATATACATGGCACGTGTACATGTATGTATGTGTGTATGTGTGTATTTTTGTGGTTGTTCAATCGTTTTAGTTGTGTCCTACTCTTCATGACCCCATTTGGGGTTTTCTTGGCAGAAATACTGCAGCGGTTTGCCATTTCCTTCTCCAGCTCATTTTACAGATGAGGAACTGAGGCAAATAGGGTTAAGTGATTTGCCCAGGGGTCACCCTGTATATGGTCAGAGGCCAGATTGGAACTCAGATTTTCCTGACTCTAGACCCAGCTCTCTATTCACTGCACTACTTAGCTGCCCATATGTACACACACAAACACACACACACACACACACACACACAAAATCTCTGTATATATCTCTTACCTCTTTGCTGTATATATTCTACAATGGTATCTCTGGGTTAACAGGTATGAACAGTGACTTTTCTTGGAATGATCTACTTCTTTTTGAAACCATACCTGCTTGCTATGATCATCCTTCCCTTTCTCTATATTCACATACCATTTCCATAAACATACTGGGTTGACTCTAGAATTTTGCCAGGTATTGAAGAGGCAGATTCCACTCTCCTTTCTCTTCTCCCATCCTGTGGTACTATTTCTGTTCTCCACTATCTTTTAAAAGTCATGAGGCAGCACAGGAACCACCTCCTCTAGCTCTTTCAGTTACCTGAGATTTCTCTTATCTTGCCCCATCTTGGGCCCATCACACACCACTTCCAAGCTATCTCTGCTGCGTCACTGTAGCTCCAGTCTCCACCTCCACCTGCAACTGAAAATCCCATTCCATGGTCCTGGGCTCTGATTGATGATGATTCATCTTAATCTTGCCCCAGTTTCAGGTCTGCCACTTCCCAGACATCTCCATGCCATGCTGCCCCACCTCCTCTGGCCCTTCTTCTGCCCCGCCCACTTTCCAACACTTAGAACAGTATATAAATCAGTACCACCATTCCTGGTAAGTGACTATGATCTGCATTCCCTCTGACTTTCCTGTCCAAAATTCCACCACTCCCCAATAACTGTTGTTTTCCCCTTCAGAGTGTAAGCTACTGGAAGGACTCTTTTGCTTGCTTGTATTTGTATACCCAATACTTAACTCAGTACCTGACACATAGTAATAGCTTAATAAATGCTTTGCCATTCACTCACTCACTCATTCATTCATTCATTCATATAGTTTACTTGGGCTTCATCATTTGAATATATTCCAATGAGATATTTCACATTGTTTTCTAATTAT